CTTTACCAACAACACACGACGTGATATTTTAGCATTTTGTTAGTTTGTTTGATTGTGTAGAGATTAAATGTAACCCCGTGTGTTGTCGGTAAAGTGTCCCAGGCCCTATTAATATACCAGATCTTTTGTTTAAATAAAAATTAATTATTCATTTATTGAAATGTTTATTGATTATATCGAGGGAGGTAAATATATCGAAAAGTCAGGGGGTAAATATACATGTGAATATATACACAATTCTGGAGAAGTCTGCGGACGTGGGTGTCGACATCCTGAAGGGTGCCATGAACATTGGAGATCTAAAAAACGTGTTTTATGTGATGATTGTGGAAAACCTACAGCTTCTGCTTGTGGGCGTTGCAAAAAACATTCTAAAGGATATTATGTCATGCAATTTTATGCTTGACAACTTCAGATGCTTGAAGACCACCCATGACTCTTCGAGTCACCCTTCGGGCCTGCAAGACAATAAAATTTAACTATCTTTTTTACCATAGAAACCTAATTGATAACTAAAAGATTACTATGCTCCGCTACTGCATCGCTCACACCTTAGGTGTATACTCCTTAGTGTTAAGAAACCAATTGTTGACTAAATAGATAACTAATGCTCCACTACGCTTCGCATTCGGAGTCACTATGCTCCTCCAGGACAGAAAATGTTTTAGTAATCAAATAAGATAACTATGCTCCGCTATGCTTTGCATTCGGAGTCGCTATGCTCCTCCGGGTCAGAAAGCTAAATAGTAATCAAAATAGTTTAACAAAAAATACACCAAATGTGAACAAATCATCATTGATTTTGATGTCACAATTGAGTTTTTATCATCGAATAGAGAGGATGTGCTCACAATAACAGAAAACTAAATAGTGATCAAAATAGGATATCAAAAAAATACACCATATTTGCATTCCCCCTAAAGGTTTATGCTCACAGTGATAGAATGCTAATTAGCAATCAAATAAGATAACTATGCTCCGCAACTGTGTCACACACACCTTAAGGTGTGAGCTCCTTAGTGTTAGAAAGCTAATTGTGAACTAAACAGATAACTATGCTCCGCTTCACTCCGCATACAGAGTTGCTATGCTCCTCCGCGTCAGAAAACTAAATAGTAATCAAAATAGATATCAAAAAAATACACTACAAGGTGTCATATATAAAAAAATACACTGCATAGAGATTTTATATAAGTTTATCAGAAACATAGTAAAAAGACTGAAATCTATAGAAAAACAATATGTTTTATTTTTTTACACCCAAATTGTCCTAAAACGCCCACTGTTATATTACTCATTACAAATATATATATAAAATAATGGAAGCCTGTATGAATAACTACTTGAATGTATCACCATTCCAAAAAAACGTTTCTTATTAAATTGTTTGCTCATCTAAAGAGTTTGTAGTTGATGTTAAAAGCTAGTAATGATTCATGCAAAGGTAGTCTCGTTTCTATTTATTACTATACATACATACATACATGTATACATACATACATACATACATATATATATATAATATAAAAATGAAATATTATTAGTAAAACCTTGTCTTATAAAATTCTAACTTTTTTTTATAAATCGATAGCTATTAAGGTTAACTTGAAGATTGTTCATTTAGTTTAACAAAAACATATAGTAGAGGACAAGAATTCGTAACTTTAATTATAGAATTCGTAACATATGTTGAACTTCACATTACCTTTTTAGTAAATCTTTATTAACAAAAGTTATTAAAAGCACATTGTTCGATAGTTTTAATCCCAGAGAGTATATATACAAAGTTTCGTTTAAGTTTCGCAATTTTACAAGAAGTTTTATTTGTTCAAACCTTAAAATTGTAGTCGTGTGATTTTTTTGCCATATGATGATGTACCGTGTAACCGAGCTCTACGCGATCAAATTTCTTTAAAAATTTAATAAAAAAAAAAGTCTGCTGCCGTAAGCAAGAAAAATAGAAAAGAAAAAGAAAATTCCTGAGATGATGTCACCAGGTAAGTGTTTATCATAAGGATGATGACTCTATTTTAATATTAATAATGATCTTTATTTATTTATCCCTTAAGCCGTGGCACATTTTTGATAAAAATTGAAAGCCAAAAATCACTTCCAATGAAATTTTTATAATTTTTTTAAATTATGTAATTCACATTATGTGCTATATTTATATGTATTTTTGTTTTCATTTAATAATAATGAACTTCTCGAAAAAATTAAAGAAAATTTTTACAACTTATAAAAATT